TCGATCGAACCTGCACCAGGCACGGCATCCTCAAACGGAGCCGGCACCTGACAGTGGCGTCCTCAAGCAGACCCGTACCAAACAACGCGTCTCAAGAGGACCTATATAACAGCGGCGTCTTCAAGTGGAGCCTGCACAAGACTAGTAAGCTGTGTTCAAGCATCGGAGTACGTACAAAACAACCAGGAAAGAAGGCACGGCACGGACCGGCAAGACTTGCTTCTTGCTAACCAGTAGCCTTAATGCTCCACCTGGTAAAAAGTGGTCTTTTAGCAAATAACAGTGATGTGAAGTCATACCGCGAGCGGAAGCAACTAATGATCACATCTGAGTGTGATGGATGTCCCTGTACGTAAGGACCATGTCCGACACGAGGGCCGAGTTCAGAGCGGGGAGGGGGGGGGGGGTCTGGCCGCACATGGTGACCACCCCGAGCGTTAGAGGGACGGGTACCGGTGAAAAGCAGAGCACGACGTGCAGGTTCTGCCGGACGCGGCAGAGGAAGTAGTCCTGCAGCGTCTCGGGCGTGGGCGAGCGGCGCGGGTGCTCACGCTTCATGATTGGCGTCAGCTCGGCGCAGATCTCCTGCGTCTCGTCCCGGCTGAACAGGTTGGAGATCAGCCCTGCCGAGGACCGACGCCAACTGTAATCGGCTCCATGTTTCAGGTAAAGTTCACGAACAGGAGCCATGAGTGGCATTAAATAAATATCGCTAGATATCTCGCCATCCCGATAGATATCTCCAGATGCGAGTCTGATGGCAGCGATGGACAGTATGACATCTTTTGCAAGTACGAGAAGTCTGACATAGCTTGCAAGTATTGCAAGTACGGTGTCTTTTGCATGTAGCAGCTACGACTTTATATGTCACACAGTTCACTGATCTATTTGTCTAGGCCCGTAAAAATGTCGCACTTTGCCAGCATTAGCCCCCAGCTCTCATCAGGGGCCGAGTTACAGCCGGCTGAACCTATTACTGAACTCTCCGAAAGTAAGTCAGACTAGATTGGCCCATTTGCTTGGCTACAACGCACTGTAACACATACTTAAGTTAGATTAATGAATTAAGTGAGCTTGCTTCGGTACATCGAGTGGCTATTATTGATTCAAACTGGCGGGCACTCGGACCTAATCAAAGTTTTCTTTGACACTTTTAACTACCCTATACCTACCAGATGCCAGAACGTTGTTGATGTATTCGAGAAAAGCCTCTTCCTTGATGTCCTGATCGGTAAAGATGAATGTAGTGCCTTTGCCCTGGACGCCGCATGTCCTGTACAACACCTTCAGATCTTCCATTAGATTGTTTGAATTGTATGACCTGTAAAACATGGTCGAAATAAGCTTAAGTCTGTGTTTTTCACAGATGAAATAGCTGCGAATCAGAAGAGAATAGAGGCATGATCTACGCTGGGAAGTCAGAGAAGGCCAAACGTGACCAACGAAGAACGAGCAGCCATCAAAAACTCAAGAATGACGACAGTACCACATACTCCCAGCTGGCAAAGGCAACGCCACAGTAGTCATAAACAAGGCAGGGTGCACTCGGAGGCTGGGCAGCGTGGTGAGTGATAGAACATACCAAGCTGAAGAGGGATGCTAGATTAACAACCGAACGAAAGCTGACCAAGCTCCCGCGGGAGAACGAAGGAGAAAACCGGACAGATGCTCGACGTGGACACCCAAATCATCATCACAGTGAGCCATAATTTCATCCGTGATGATACTACTTCGTCTCAATTGTTCCGCAAACCGATATCTGCTTTTGTTACGCAGGTTCTCAACCAACGAGGCATTTAGCGTGCACTATGAAAGCTAAATCACAGCTAAATGCACCTAATATGTTTCGCATCACGCGCGTAACTGCATATAGGACGTTCCAGAATCCACACAGGCAGTTCGAGTTACATATGAGCGATCCTGAAAACGTTGAGGAATGACAGTGAATGTGTCCACGCCTGTCGAACGTGTCCAGTGGCACTGCCTAGTAATTGTTCCTAATGCATGCTTCAGAATGCCACAAAAAGTTAAAATCACTTGCTGATAACGAAATTCCCTCAAATTAACATAACTTCCAACTAAACAAACCCGCCTAATCTGAAGCTAATTCTTTAGAAAAAAAAATGCTGATAGCTCTCTGCAACTCTGGGCACTGGCATGCAATTTGGCGGAACTTGTTTGAAACGGAGGATTTTGCACAAGATTGCGTACAAAACGGTTATTGGCACACTGCGGTTATATTTTTATGCTGTGTAATGTGAAAAACATATAATCAGCGCATCTGCTGTAGTCTCTCCACACACACACACACACACACACACACACACACACACACACACACACACACACACACACACACACACACACCCACACACACACACACACACACCACACACACCACACACACACACACACACACACACACACCACCACACCACACACACAACACACACACACACACACACACACACACACACACACACACACACACACACCACACACACACACACACACACCACACACACACACACACACACACACACACACACACACACACACACACACACACACACACACACACACACACACACACACACACACCACACACACACATATATATATATATTATATATATATATATAATATAATATATATAATATATACAGTTTTCACACATCAAAAGACATGTTAACCTTCATATATAACTTCGGGTCATCGTATCGCGAAGCAAAGGAGAACGACGATAGACCGAGGGAGGAAAAACGAAGGAAAGAGGAAGGCTGACGACGAATTCCGTCAGACATGAGGCGTTTTAGCAGCAGCATTTCCGCAACAAAGTCATACCGATCACGGTCAGACACTTTTGTCCGGCAGATGTGCGATCCTGATCTCAGGAGGTATCTGCAGAGTAGGATACTCGGACCCCGATCACGGCGCGTGGTCCGGTCACCCGCCCACCCACCTGGTGATGGTCCGGTCACCCGCCCACCCACCTGGTGATGGTCCGGTCACCCGCCCACCCACCTGGTGATGGTCAGGCTGAAGGTCTTGTAGCTGGCAATGAAGGAGGCCAGCTTCGTCAGAGACTGCTTGCCTGAGCCGCCTACGCCCACCAACAACGCGTTTCCGCCAGGATTGCGTATGATGCGCGAAATCTGCGACGACGCGAGCTCGTTAATCAGACCGGACAGGCACCGTCAGTGTCAAAACAACAGTTGAAGTGGCATTGCAACAGCCCGTTCTCTGAAAATATGAGAATACATACAATGCGAGCTTCATTGCCCTGGCGTCCGTTAAAAACGCCGACCTCTGGGCCACACAACCAGTTGGGATGTTTGATTACATGATACTTATTAAGAACTAGGTTATGTCGCCCAGAGTATAGTGGGACTTTCCGGGCATTACATTGACGAGACGCGCGTAGAATCCTCGTGAATCCTCGTGAATCCTCGAGGCAAATCGTAGCCCCGCGGTCCACCCACCCACAAACATTGCGTCTCTCGAAGCGGTGCCAGTTCACTTGATGGGGTATCGCCACTGAAAGCGAGCTTTTCCACGTGACCAGTAACCAGAATCTCCTCACCTTGATGAGATGGACCATGGCGTCCATGAAAAAGACGAGGTCCATGCCGACGCCGCGCACCATCTCGTTGTACTGCGCCTGGAACATGACCAGCCGCTCCCGGAGCGCCTCGAACGACTCGATCGGCTCGTACACCTTCGGCATCTCCATGTCGATGTCGTCGCCCTCGTCCCCGGTCGGTTCCGGCGCGTCCCTGCCGATGACAGGGGTCGTCAGGGACGTGATGGGGCGCCGATGCTCTCTGCCGCCGCTGCTGCACCAGTCCACAAACTGGTGACAGGAAAATGCCAGAAGGCGAAATAGACCGATGCCGTCACGTTGGTGGGCGTTAGTCTCCTGTGATTTGGAGACTAGACGCCATCAAACGCAGCAAATAGCGTAAGGTTCTAGCAAGAGCCTTCACCTCACAGTTGGCCGTGTCCTGAACGCTGACACGACATATTCAGCCTTACCGAAGGAAATCAACGAAGAAGAGGTCCTGTTTGAGCATGTCTGCGTAGCTCAGGCCCAGGTACTTCTGCACCGTCTGCGTCAGCTGCACGCTGAACCAGCTGCTGTCCAACGAGTTGGTGAATCTGCAGAACGCCAGGGTGCACACCTTGTCATACACTGGGAATCCTGCCGCGCCGCCATGACAACCATTTACAAGAGAATGCGCAGATGTTAGTCCATCGTCATACAAATGACAGTGTCTTCATTACTTAGATCACGTACATTAGTGACGGGGAGAAAAGCCATTCCCCACACATAAACGTGCATGATTATATTTGCATGGAAGGCACGCCAACCCGGTCTCAAGACAAAGCTCGCCCGTTCCCATCACTTGTGAGCTGTACAGCGTGGTTTCCCCACAAATCCACTATACAATCAATGCAAAACGCGCCATCAAATGCAAATGTAATGCTGCCTTCATCCAATGCCGACGTTTAGCTGCCCATGTTTGTCACTTACTATATCTGGCTAAGTCCACCGGCTATTGTCCGCCTCACTGCCCTGTCCACGCCCCAGCGGCCTCTCCATCCTTCGTTGTCCCTGTCCGTCCCCCGACCGACCTGTCCGTCCCCCACAGCTCCCTTCAGCCGACCCTCACCTGTCCGCCACCACACGGGTGCACTCGTGCTTCCAGAGCGCCATCAGGATGTCCTCAGACACGACTACCGTGCTCAGCGTGCCGACCACACCCTGCCAAATGCGCGAGAGGTCGCGCAGGTTGAACACGTAGTGGAACTTGGCCGGCGTCGGCAGCATCTTGGTCTGGAAGGCAGGCGTTATGTGGTCACATGACAGGATAATTCTCTACTAAAATGTGTGTCATGCTTTGCCGATTATCTGAACCGCTGCTATTGTCATCATGACAGTAGCACCGGTTACATTCACGTGCAAACATCAAGTAAAGCATTATAGACCTGAGCATGTTATGTGACGCGATGCTGTTCGCCATTGTTTCCTCGGACAGAAACGGGTAACGGCGGATGCTGTGAGTATATCTATAATATTGCACGTTGCCTTAATAAGGACCAGTACTAACATCCAGGCAGCAGCGAAGGCAGGAAAATGGATGACGTCGCGGATTTTTGCCCAGGCGTGTTAATTCTGGACAAAGAAAAACCTCAACCACTGCATTTTCAACATTCAAAATATAACAGTGCCCTTGAAACAACTCATTTCTTACAGAATTCGTTGGGTAAAATCAAAGGTGCACTATAGCATGCGGACTCGAACCCCATAGATAATTGTCGGTCTGTTACCCGTGACTGTGATACCTCGTCCTAATGCTTCCCAGAGCCAAAATGGAGACACGGATGGTTTTGGGATCCAGAAAGGTTCAAGGTTCTGTGTTCAATTTCAAGTGAAGTCTCTTGCGGGGTACCAGGGCTTTGCATGGGAACACAATGACAGAATTATCACGGTTCGGTTTTCGTCTGCGTGACATCAACCATTCCCCGTGAGCATCGACAGATCCACTTACCAGCTGCCATTCGGCCACGTTCCTTTCTTTTAGCGGAAACAAAACCCTTCTGACCTCTGACCCTCCCGCATGCTTAGCCAGAAGTCCACGTTCGGAAGCAGGGCGGCACGTGGCGCCTGCGGGTCTAAGGGGCATCGGCTCACCTTGGTCACGTGCCACAGTTTCCTGGTGAGAGGCACAAGCTTCTGCACCAGGCTGCGCACGTCCTCAGTGAAGCCCCGCTTGGCGCAATAGTGACCCACGGCGATCGTGCCGAAGATCAGGTCGATGGACGTGTTGGAGGGCAGCGTGCAGTTGAAGATGGCGAAGTGCCGCTTCAGGCGCGCCGGGATGTCGTTACGGCCGCCGCCTGGAGACGGTAGCGGAAGAGTTCGGCCCACTGTCAGGGAATTTCTATTCCCGTTCACAACATTCATCACGCAATGAAAACGAAACACCAGTGGCCTGGCTGCCTATGACTGGCCATGACACTGAAGGCTGCTTACTGGTGCTTATTGACCCTGCTGATCTGGCTGACCGTGACTGAACCCGACCACGAAGAACCCTGACTGGCACGTATGACCCCTGCTGACCTGGCTGACCCATGGCGGCCAGAAACTGGACGTCCACGATGTGGGTGAACTCGCCGGGCTTGTCCAGGCTGTAGAAGCCGCTCATTTCGATCGTCTGCCGTACGATCTCATTCGTGACCTGCGACAGGGGCGCAGGCGGACTCAATGCCGGGAGGTCACGCCGTAACGGTCCGCCGGGCCCCCGGCCGGAGACAGCGACGCACACAGGCGTGAGGCGAGGAACAATAACACGGCACGCTTCGACACCGGTTACCGGAGGTGGGGGTGCGCCGAACGCTCTCGTCGGATATCACTTGAAGTTCACAAAGGGACTCTCTCGGTAGCCTTCACTGAGCGATGTAAATAGGCAATTTCCTGGACAGGCCAGACTGGCAGCCTCCTGTTCTAGAATACACAAACCGGTAATCCAGAACGAATACAAAAGTGGTTCAGGGAAAAACCAGATCATGCATGTCTGAGAGAAGGTATTAGTTATTATTGCTTGTACTGGGCGCGTTCACAAAAATTAGCTCGAGAGGTTGCCCAGAAAAACACGACTTTTTATCATTTGTCTGTGTTACGTGTGTTAGGGAATTAAGCCTAACACCAGAATTTACCTGGAATTAAGCTCCAAACCGTCGTTACACACACCTTGCCTTCCGTGACCCGCCACATCATGAAATATCATATAAAACGGCCCGTTATTTTACATCGGCATTGCGTTCAGAGCCAGGTACTTCTTAGTGGAGCACCCACCTGGTCTCCCCATTCATTGACGTGAGGACTGTTGATGTCGTCCACGAAGACGGACATCTTCTTGCCGGCCGGCGGGCCGTACGTGGAGCCCATCCGCTTGTCCAGGAAGCTCTCCATCGTCCGCTGCGGCGTCAGGCGCCGAGGGCGTAAGCCAGCACACGGCCTGACGCCGCGGGCAGCCGCTCTCGCACACGCTATAGTTTCCAGTTCGTGGGATGTGTCTAGTTAGCAACGGGGGCCGCGGGTTTGGACTTAGGGTTCCACTAGATTGGATCGTGTTTCAACGACGAGGAGTGAGCTTCACCTGTCCGTGAGTTGCCGAGCCGCAACGCTCCATCACGCTAAAGCCAGACGACAGCTTGGTGTTTTGGACTAACGGGTCAACGGAAATATGTATAGGCCTGACTTTTCTTTTATATTATGCGCCCTGTTTGAAACCAGGGCAACATATTATTCCAAAGCACAATAATGATACATTTAGTAAAACAATCTGACGAGGAGACGAATGCTTAACTGCCATGCCATAGTCGATTAGCTACCAAGACCAAAGACACCAGGCCCATGCGCAGGAATATTCACAGAACACATAATTAAACAGCAACGGCTTCATGGCCTTACCAGCCGCACTACACGTTTTTGTTTCGCTTAACACTCATAGTTAGCGTTGTTTCAAGCAATTCGCCCTATAGACACGCAAACCTCTGATTTACCTCCGAAAACCTATGACTTGCCAGTTTAGGTAAATATGATAGTACTGTGCGGCAGCCAATGGAGTGCAGCGCCAAAAATTCGGTAGCCCGCAGCACTCATACATGCATGCTTCTGCATCCTCCCACTTGGAACCAGCTCGGACCAGCCCGGCCCGCCATCTCACCTGGAAGTTGACGCCCAGCGTGGCTGACGAGAAGTTGATCCTGCGGTTGACGAACTCGTCTGGGTTGGAGCGCTTCATGAAGGCGTCCACCATCACTGTCTTGGCCGAGCCCGGCTCCCCCAGAAGCAGGCAGGGCTGCACACAGCCGGACCCGGGCTCAGATGCCGTTCAGATGTCCGCCCATGACGAACACAGGCCCAGCAGGCCGCCCAGATGCCGGCCGCTTGGTCTCCTCATGTTCTGAACGACCCCTGGCTAATGCGAGCCGGAAGCCCATGCCAAAGTCCCCACTTCTATCGTTAATGTTTAACTATCATGTCCTTTGTTAGCTATTTTGCTGCACAGTAACATTTTATACCACTTCGGGCCGTTCATCTTTTCCGATAGCTCGGTTGTATAGAGCGCCTACCTTCCGATCCAACCAACTGTAGAGCCGTGGGTTCGAGTCGCTTAAGGCACTCGATATTTACCCTTGAAAGCCACGGCCTGCGGCCGGTGGCAACGGCCACACCAAATGTCAGGTGACATCAGAGGGCAGGTCGGACTGTGCCGAGCACTACAGCACATTAAAGTTACGCCACCGAATTCTGCTGTTGACCTGGAATGTCGCGGTCGAATGACAGGGGTCGCGGCAGCGGGTCACGGACCTACCTTGCCCTGGCCGGCAGCCAGCGCCAGCAGGAACTCGGTGCGCACGTTGTCGACGTTGGGCACCAGGATGGAGGGGAAGTCGGGCGTCGAGTTGTCCGGGTAGTGATAGGCGGTGACACGGCTCCTCCACGGCTGCCAGGTGCCTGCGCGTGCAGGCAGAGGGCGCCGGCTGGTACGTACGGACATGCACCTCGAATAGGCACGTGCGGTAAGAGGACGGGAGGTGGGCAGTTGCACTGTGTCGCACTGCTAATCAAAAGCTCGTCCACGCATCCGAGACAATTCTTGAGTATACATGGCAACACAAAGAAACGCGAGATGCATGGGACAATACGCCTTAAAACACGTCCGCATGCGTTTAAACACATCAATACAACCCCACTTACCACAATCATACGGGATACATTTGAAGTTGGACAGCGATTCACTAATTTACTGGTGGCGTATTTACCCTTGCTTTGTCGGCTTGGTCAGCTTCAGGGCGTACGCATTTTCCGTCTCTAAGTTGTCATATGCCCGGCCAAACCAGATGGTTCTCTTTTTTACCCATTTCAACGATTACACGCGTGGTAAAATCTCAGCTTTCTACCAGACAGCTACGCGAGTAATGACACTGGGAATGGCATCACCGATATGCTACAGTCAGCTCCCTGCCAGGCAGCTACGCGAGTAATGGACCGGCGAGTGGCATCACTGATATGCTACAGCCAGCCCCCTACCAGGCAGCTAATCGGGTAATGGAACGGCGAGTGGCATCACTGATATGCTACAGTCAGCTCCCTGCCAGGCAGCTACGCGAGTAATGGACCGGCGAGTGGCATCACTGATATGCTACAGCCAACCCCCTACCAGGCAGCTACGCGAGCAATGGCACGGCGAATGGCATCACCGATATGTTATAGCCAGCAACGTCCTGGTATGGTTCTTGCAGCCGCTGCGACTGCGTGCCCGCTGTCAGGGCGCTCCGGCAGCATACATCACTACAGCACTAAAGAGAGCGATGCATTCACACGGATTTGCCTACGACCCTTGACGCACAATCCTTCGCTACACGATCTACACCCTGCATATCTGTATCCAGCATCGTATCTTGAACACGATCTTCTGCATATGCATTTTTTCGATGCTTTTTGTTCACACATTTTTTATTATCATGACCCCAGTTTTTGTTACCCATGATGCCCTTTGCTGGTGATATTTACACCTTGTGATAGTGAAATTTATTATGCCTTCCATGTCATGTTTCGTGTACGGCATTTTGCCATTCAGTCCATTGCCACACACGCTCTTTTCCTACGAGCGCCTGCCGACACCATCCTTGCAGTCTTTTGCCATACGATATTTTGCCTTTCAACCGACACAATACGCCGCAGGGTATCACCGGGCTTCACCACGACAGCGGATGAAATCACAACTAGAATAGCACTCGGCGCGGCCTGTTTTCCCCAAAGCCGCTTACGCACCGGCTTCGTCTATGAAGTAATCGAAGATTGTCTCGCGCCGCTGCGGGTCGGGCAGCTCCCAGCTGGAGAACTGCGTCCGCATCTGGAGCTCCAGCTTGGCGCGGTCTTCATTCTCCAGGAAGGCGCCCACCGACCACATCAGGCAGAAGGTGTACACCCTGTACAATGGAGACGAAACGGATCGCCGAGGTAGTAGCACCGTCACATCCAACACCAGACAGAAACATATTCTGAGGAAGCTAGCTTTCGCAGGGCGGCACAGAATGAGATAGTGGCGCCGCGACACATCACCAGAACAGGTACCCTTGACACCTCACCTCCTCAGGTACCCTTGACACCTCATTTCCCCAGGCACCCCTGACACTTAACCTCAGTCGGCACCTCTCCAAATGTCACCATTTCGGACACCACCTAACGGCCTTACTGATTCTATTTTGTTAATCATTTTCATCCAGACCCCTCCTGACTACCCTCCCGCCTGCTCTTGCACTTGCCTCTCCAGGTGCCCACCTGCGGGTGCCACAGCTCCGCCTGCATCCTCCGACCTCACCTCTGCATGTAGCTCTTGAGCGCGTCGCCGGCGCCCTCGTCGGGCGGCGGCGCGTCGGCCGCGCTCGGGCCGCCCTCCGCCGGCGGACAGCCCTCCCAGTCGTCGGTGGCGCCCTGGCGGGCCGTGTCCGGGTCGCCGGCCGGCACGCGCCGCAGCGCCCCGCACGACTCCTCCACGTTCTCCGGCAGCATGGCGTTCAGCAGCGTCAGAATCTGCCGGCACGGCGGGGTCATCAGCGCGACGGGTCACGGAGTACAGTGATGTGGTCTTCACGGAGTACGGTGGTGGTCGTCACGGTGCGGCGGTCTTGTCCTGGAAAAGAGCGGTGACGTCACACAATGACGCTGCTCAGGCCTGTGGTGCGTAGCTAAGCTATCCCTAGCGGACAATCACCTTGATTCCAACTTCATCCAAGCAGTAAGTATTTGCCGGTTTCTGCTGCACTAGTGTCTTCAACCGCACGCAGGAGGCGGAAAAGCCTCCATCGCGAAACAGAATCATACATTTCAGTGCGTCCGCTCACTTACCTGTGTGATGACGTTAACCTCCAACACAGGCATCTTGAAGCGCAGGTTCTGCGTGCTCCATGTAAAGAGGGCAGAAAAGCTGTTGTTGAAGAGCTCGCGCAGTTCCAGCAGCCAGGCGGCCTTGGGGTCTGGCTTGGTGCGCACCCAAGAGGTGATCACCGGCTTCCAGTCCAGGCCCGAGGAGCTCATGTACACCTGAGGAGCAGCGGGGCCGGCGGGGTCAGCCAGGTCAGCCTGGGGCGCAGGTCGCGCAGCGGCGGCACGGAGCCCGCTCTGGCAAGCAGCTCTACGCCTCTGGCACAAAGCCGCGTTCACAACAACGGAAGAAAGTGGCAGTACGCATCGCCTTTGAAGATCGAAGTAGCAGTTGTGTGGCTGACGTCCGCGCTGAAGACTACGAGACAGGATGGTATCAGCGTCGGTCCGTACTCGTACTCTAGACATCGGCAGAGCCAACTACGCATATGTCCAAGCATGTGTGTGCCATGCACAGCTGCGCACTGGGCCGACGCACGGGGTCGCGACTCGTGCCGCAGCCCAAGACCGTGACGTGCGAAGTCGTGTGAGGGAAAGCGAGCCGCCGTCCACTTTTCAGATGTGGGAAACAGCGCCGCACTACCACAACGCCGTCAACGGAGCTACTGCCATGACTGACCATGCCGTTCCTGGACACGGTGGCCGGCGAGGCGTTGTCGACGTCCTGCGGCTCGAAGATGACCTTGCAGGTGGGCGCCATGGGCAGCCGGTCGCCGTTGGCCAGCGTCAGCGTCCTGTTGTCGTCCAGCACTGAGTTGAGGTTCTCGATCCAGATCGGATCCACGGGTCCGTCCAGCACCAGCCACGTGTACTCACCTGGGACAAGCGAGACAAGTGCGGGGTCCTGTCACGGCCACGGCCAAATGTGACGGAAACAAGGGTTGTGACCAGGTCAATACATGACGACGGGCCCGTTAGCCAGGGGTCATGGCAGAGCCATCCAAGTTGAGCATTAGGGGTGTGTGCGAACGTCAAAGAAGGAAACATCAGCAATTACAAAAAAAGGAACTATGTTATATACAGCCAGGCCTTGCATGATGCGGAGACACAAACGCAATCGAGCCGGGGGACCGCTGCCTTTCACTGGAGACTTAGGACACGTTCGGTGGAAGCACGTCCGTCCAAGCTCCGAGGCTCCGGGGGACCGCTGCCGTTCACTGGAGACTTAGGGCACGTTCGGTGGAAGCGCGTCCGTCCAAGCTCTGACGCCCCGGGGACCCATCGACTTGCCCTTCTTAGCCTTCATGGTGCGGCGCCAGAGGGCGCTAAAGATGCCGTCCGTCCAGTCGTTGGTGGCCACGTCCAGGCGACCGAACATCTGCGCCGCCGTAATCGACTTGGGGTTCATGCGCATCTCCCTGCCGGCGGCGCAGCGGCCTCAGCGGGGAGCGCGCCGCTGCTGCTCCGGCGCCGGTCCAGGTCACACCATCCGACCGCCGCGGCAGCATTTCAGAGTACATTGGCGGACTTAGGTCACAGCTGTAGCCATTCACGCACTGTCAAGTGATGGATCGGTGCGTGTACTCGATAGTCAGAAAGCGAAGCGAGTGAATCAAGGGACGGCTAACCCCGATGAAGAAAGTTCGGGTTTTACGAGGTAAAGAGCAGTGTACTTTGTACTCAGCTAATGGTCTGGGTAGGCCGCAGATCAGGCGTCTACATTCAGTTAATGCAGACAAATTCCGCGCCTGGATGGGAGAGGACAAGTCACCGGTCGCACGCTTCTTTGACCTGTGCTGCGCTGCTGACTGCGAGGGCGGCTCACCTGTGCTGCGCCGCTGGCTGCACGGGCAGCTAACCTGTGCTGCGCCACTGGCTGTGAGGTCGGCTAACCTGTGCGCGGAGCCGGTGGCCGTGAACGCCCTCATCAGCACCTGGATGCAGCTGGTCTTGCCGGAGCCGCTCGGTCCCAGTGTCATGATGCCGTGTCGCACCAGCTGCGTCTCGTACAACTGGCGGCGGGAGGATGAGGAAGGCTGGCGGTGAGATGAACATTTTGGGATAATCACAGTCAACTGTTTTTCATTTTTGATCAGGAGTCATGGCGGATCCAGGATTTCGTCAAGGGGGAGGGGGAACGCAACAATGTGGCCCCACCAGAATTTTGGTTCCCTCCGTAGGTCTTTGCATTTCGGCCATCACATTTTAAACTTCTTAGTATGCTATTTTTTAAACGGGGAACAATCTTACTGCTGGCAGCCCTGGAAAAATAGGTGTGCTGCGTATACACATACATGGGTCTTATTCATTTTCTACAGATCCTGGCAAATCCTGTCATTTTGAGGCCAAGTTTTTAGGAAAACATGACAAAATAAACTAAAGTTGGCTGATAAATGTCATTCAGTCAAGCACGAACTTGATTCCTTGTCTATTTACAGCTAGCCGGCTGGCCGATGTGATCACTCATGCAAAGTTCTTCCTTCCTTGTTATGAAGTAGTGCAAAATATTCCAGCATTTAAAATATACTAAAAGCTTAATGCACGAGTATAACAGATGTCACAAAATAAAAAAGTAAGTGAAACACACGATGTAGGCAGCACGTAAAATTACGTGCGACAGCTACAAGTAAAACTTATTGGCGCACATCCAACTGCTGCTCTAAGGACAAGGCCCCAAGGCCAGTAGGGACGGAACCTGAGTTATCACAGGTGCCGCAGGAGGCCAACAAAGAGGCTTCCGTCAACAAGTAAAGTGTCTTCAGAGCAAGTGAGAAGAATCCAAGACCAAGGTGGGGGGTCCCTGAACGAACGGGAGGACCCCGGCAAGCTGACAGATAGGGCCCTAGGCAGGGCGCTGGTCCCTCTGAGCAAAGGGGAATTACACAAGACCAGTGTGCGCGAATGAGTGCCCATGCAAAATCAAGAGTATCCGGGCAGATTGTGGAAAGGGCCCGATAGGAGTAAATGATCCTCCATCAAGGGAAATCAAGAAAAATAGCCCTGGATCAATTTAGAGGGCTCCCAAACATTACGTGGCTCGGTGCCTTACCTTATAAGGGCCCCAGCAATAACACAAGGCCCTCCGGACATGTGGAAAGAACCCGAGAGTAATATGAGTGCTTAGGCATGTTAGAAGATAGTGTCCTTATAACAGCGCAGGACCCTACGAATAATGCATAGAGATCAAGGACAACGTAGAAGAGCCTTCCACGTTGCGAACCTTAGCCGAGCCGAGCTGAGCCTTAGCGATCGGACTGATCCAGCAAGTGGAGATATAGGGCTCTGGCAGCAGCGTGACGCCTCTGGACAGCGTAATGGGCTTCAAAATGTCCCCCAATCACCTCTCTCTCAATCAGCGAATAATTAACTTTGTCTGCTTACAGGCTCTTCACTTTCGCTTGAGTGTTCTTGGTCGTCTGGAGGCCCAAAGACGTCCAATTCTCTTGTGTTTTGTGTTAAAAACTGCGTCCTGTCCGGCAGTCGTGAGCCACCTCGGATCCTATGGAACCCCATGGGTCGCAAGAGGGCATGGTTCTGTGCGCCCCCCCCCCCCCCCGGCTGGATCCGCCACTGGTCCGGGCAGTTTGATAGATGTGGATCCGACAAGAGCATAAGGCTCTCCATTCAAGTAAGAAGTACAACACGATGTGGAGGGCCCCAAACGACTGAGTGGGCCGGAGCGGATTAACAGAATCAAAAACCTTCGGAGTCTATGGGTACCTTCGGGGCCCATAGGCTCCGAAGGGACCCATAGTGAGGATACAGGGTCATGCCACCCTTCGGCGCCCAGGACAGGGTGGCATGACCCCGGTCCCGACTCTGGGTCCGCCCCTCATCATAGTAGAACAAGGTTGTAGAATAACTTAAATTGTAGCAGCCTGCAGAGCTTGAGACATCGCTGCATAATGCCGAAATTCTATAATGCCGACAATACCGCAAGGCTAGACCAATCAACAACGCACATGAATATCGCAAGAAAAGACACGCAGTATGCAGTAATCACACAGGCAGCACCAGGTAAATACGGTACAAACGCAGAGCTCCAAGTGTTTCTGACTCAGTAAGCTGTGCTGGACTGAACAAATCATTGCAGCTTTCAAGTGCTTCGCTTTTTTCCTGTCAGACAATTTTTTGAAACTTGCTTCGGTGTTTCTGTAATTTAGAGCTCTCATTTAAAACGTTACAGTTACACTTTGAATCCAGAGGGTTGAGGCCAAACTTATCGTTGGGAGGGGCCAAATTAACCTTAGGGTAGAGGCACAGCGGCCCTCCCAAAAGATTACAAATCGGCACCAGGGTTAACACATGTGTTTTAACTTAGCTGTCATTCCGATTTTCTGAACACGTCTGCGAAGGTCGTGTGAGGGTAATTACCTATGGGAAAGTAAACGGCGCTTGTCAGGCCTTGAAAAATCAAGGACCAGTCAGCTTCCGGTCAGCAGTAGTTCCCGCGCTTCGATGGAAGATAACGTGGGCTAATTCGATATTTACTATGCATAGTTATCACAATTCCATTGCACGGTTTCGGGCCCGAGTGGATGCGGGGGTACAACCCAGGACTGCAAAACCCGAATCAGGCGTAAAAGCGTGCGCCGCCCGGGAATCGAACCCGGGTCGCAAGAATGGGAATCTTGCATGATACCACTACACCAGCGGCGCCGTTACGCAATGCGCGAACAAAGTTCTAACGGTTGCAGTCTGAGAGGAAGCATTATGCCGAGGAACTGTTCGGAAGGGTAAATGCTATTTAAGATGCTAGGTATTCCACATGTACACAGTTTTAGACGTAAGAAGTTATAAAACGCTTCTTCGGTCCATTGGTAGACCTTACATGGAGTACTGTTCTCAAGTCTCAAATCACCAGTCCGTTCAAGATTCTAGTGGTGTAGCAGAGACTAGCGAGGGGTCTAAAGATGAGCACTCAATTGGAAAAGGGCTCCTAAATAGTGAAAATAGTGATAACCAAACCAGACTAAGATCCTATAACACACACGCGGGTGGGAGTCAATTTGCCCCCCCCCCCCCTTGAAGGTTTTCCTGAATCTCCGAAAGGCATTGCAAATTTTGCATTGCTGCATGTGTAAGGTATTGGAGAACACCTGTGTGCAAGCCAGTGAATGATTGCGTAGTTCAGCGAAAGCCGCTTACAGGCGCTCGCGTTCCCTTCCCCCAGGCGCCCCGCCCCGTGCGAGGGGCGCGGCCGCGGGGGCCAGTAGAGGAGGTAGTAACAAGGAGAAAATTCTGAGAGCCGCCGGCGCGACGACGGACGTGCCGGCGGAACGTACTGTGACCAGTGCCTGTGAAGAGTGTCAAATACGGAAGTGGATTTGGACGTACCTTGTGTACCAGTGAGTCGGGGCGAGACATCGGAAAGGCAGAACTTACATGTGCAACTGAACAGCGGTTCTTTTGGCTTAAAATTGACGACGATGATCCTGCAAACATGCGTTACCAATATAACTTTTTCACATACGACTGTTTCAAGGGCATCATCTTATTTCAGGTCAATCGCTCCAATAACCATAATAAAATCCATGCTTGATTCTGCGTCAGCCTCCCACTCCCAAGCTAAGGCATGCTGGACTGAATACGACTCGAAGGATACTCATCGGAAGAGCACGAAGCATGACTTCATCGACTTCGACTCTAGCCCCCTCCGAGCACACTGCAGCTCGTCAACTCCGTGACAGTGGCGTGCAGGGCGTCGGCTCCAGCTACCACCCCCCCCCCCCCCCCCTCCCCGCGGCATAATGCTGGCTGGATGAGAGCCCCTGCTCAGAGGTGCAGTTTCGAAAAATCAGTGCCGGACTCAGCAGTGAAAACATATCAAATCTATCCCAACAATACGCTGCAAACAGGTGTGTCTCCGGGTGTGGCGCACTATCCTCGCAAAGTTGGAGAGAGAAAGGGGGGGGGGCAAGCTGGGAGGGGGCGGGGAGCTCTCAAATGAACAGAAAGCTTCAGTTGAATGATACACGTGCTGTACTATTTATTGCGTCATAAATTTGTGAATCGACCATTACCTGGATGAGTTTGAGGGTCCAGGGCGGGTGTGGCACCAGGCCCTGGCGCGCCGTCTCCTCGGCGATGGCCGTCTCCAGGTCCGGGTAACCGGCCTTCTCCAACGCCATGTTCGGGAACAGGTCGTTGATGAGCGACAAGAAGAGCGGCTCGTCCTCGTCTGCAACAGTCGGCTCGCTGCACACGTGCACACGCACTGACTGGCACATACTGCGGCCACTTGTTGCGACGCTTCGGGCACCTTTTGATGTGTTCCTCCGCACGCCGCAAAACCGAACCCCGGTTACACCCGTCTGTGCACGGCGACAGTCCTTGTAAGCCGCGTGCATTGAACTGTGTATGTGTATAAGCGAGCAGACGTAGCAGACTGCAGACTGAACCCATGACGCACCCAGGCATCGGGTACGGATCCACAATATACACCTTGAAGTGTCAATGCCAACTACGGACGTGCGTGGTTAGGACTACAGTCGTCACTGAACTGAAAGGCGCATACCGGACCATACAGGAGCCAGGACCGCGTTACATTCCGGCGAGTTGATTGCGTGTATGCTGTGGCTGGACTGCAGACCGATCTAGACCGGGGTAAATAGCACGAATATACCCTGTAAGCGCCAGGTGGCAAGCATGCACTAGTGGCCAGGCGTCAGTCCCAGGCGCGGGCTGCTGACTGACTGGACGGTGCCGGTCCACGGCTCTGAGCAGGTCACATCAAAACTAGATCGATAGGTCCCTGTCCTTCTAATCCCCCGTGAAAGCACCATGCATTGTTATGGCTTGCGAACATTTTCGCCCATGGTAGATGCGGTTGCAAGACAGGGTTATAACATTTGGTACACATTCCGACCAGTGGACCAGTCACGAGCGACTCGGACATGCGTGCACGCGTGTGACAGCCGTGCTCAAGGTCACCGCCACCGACCGATTAGCTTGGAGAGATTCATGTCGCGAAGCACGCGCATGACAATCGTCGACTCGGAGTCTTTGGAGTTCTTCCGCTTGGAAGCGCCCAGAGTTCTCAGCACTGACAGGATGTTTCGCAGCCCGAAATCATAGTGCACCTGTGACGTCATAAAGGGACATCACACCATCAGCCGTGTCACCAGATGATCGCATCAGTATCCACATTAACACACAGGGAAGGACGCATACAGTTCAACACGCGCCGGGTGGCCTATTGCATATCCTTCGCTCGGGTGGGGTGTCAATTTGACCCCTTTGAGATCTCAGAAACTAAGAGACCTAGAGACACAAAGTTCACAGGGTGTATTTGCCTGTAAGTAAACTTATTCAGGTCAAACTTTGAGGCTCCTAGGTCATGACCTTTAGGTCAAACCAGGCCAAACAAGGTCAAACTGCAGGTTAGTCTCCAAATACCCCCAGAACATAATGCATGTCACAAGCAAAAAGTCACACGGTCATTTAAGATCAGTGACCTTTCCTTCGACATGTTGAAGGTCATGGTGACCAAAATAATAAAAGATTGCTTTGAATTTTACATATAAATAAGCGACAAAGATCACGCTATGCGGTGTGTTCCCGAAAACAAAGTGTCCACCAGGGTCATCTTGGGCCAGTAACCTGTTCTAACCTTTAAAAAGTTCATGAGGACGTAAAATGCGGTTCTTGTTATCAATAAATTAAAAATTACTGCCAAAAACTAACCATTACAGCAGGCCTTGGAGTAAAAAAACAGGTGTGTTTTGACCTTGGTCTGACGTTCATACCTGCACCTAGGTCAATGGACTTTGTTCGTTCAATTATTGTATTTCCTAGAAAAGTATCTCAGAGACGTATGACTTTGTCTTACGCTCCGTTGTTGTATCAGATTGAAAGATTCCCTAGAAAATGACTTCGCTGAATCCATGGACTGATTTTTACCTACCGTAGGTCAGTGACCTTACAAGGTACACATACATTCTGGATACCAAACGATCCGCTATTCAATTTGCTACACATCTTGCAAAGTTGGCGCGACTACACCGCGCCGTTCGGAAACCACCCCAGAAAAAATTCAAAGGAGTCAATTTGACCGCCACCCGAGCACGTGTTAACGAAATGACTAAAACGAGATATTTGTATATACCCGCCTGTGCATGAGGTTCGGCTATGTTTACCCGGGTCCAAAAAATGTTGTTCGAACTAGCATGCATGTCTGTGTATTAGTACCTACACAGCGTTCTGACCAGCTCACTCTCCGGTCGTCGTCAGGTGTTGTAAGACCTGGTGGCTCAAAGGTGCTGAGTTACACTGTCGTTGAGCTGTGCTATTTATCGATTCCCTTTCAGGACTCAATAACACCTGGAAAGGACCAAGAACGTACTGGCCGAAATGCTATGTAGATACCAACAAGATGGATTTATTGCCGTTGGATGCAGCACTGTTTATGGACGCTCCAACCTGCCACCTAATATATTGGTTACCACAGGCAACTCTCGCCAAAACGCGATCTTTATGACAGGCGCGTGTGTCATCGCCTTGTAAAAAAGTACTTGGATGCGTGAGAAAAGCGACCCAATGCAGCTATGTTCTGGTTTCGGACTCCGTGGAGTTCAGGTCGCAGCCTGGACGTAAAGCCGTCTTGCTGCAGCGGGAAAGCCAGCGCGTGCTGGCTGTAGCCCATGCCTCGCCCACAACTTGTGCCTGCTTCTCATATAAAACGATATATATATATATATATATTTCGGTGAAGGACGGTGAAGAACTTCCTGGCCAGCGTGATATATATATATATATATATATATATATATATATATATATATATATAGATGCGCATTATCTCTATATAATCATGACTAAAACAAGCTTATCGTACCTGCTTCGTCAACTGCTCCTCACAGAGTTTGTACAGTGTGAAGAACTTCCTGGCCAGCGTGATATTCTCGAGGAAGCCGCAGGAGGCCAGCTTGACGCGGATGATGATCTGCCGGTCGGGCACCATCATGGCCACGTTGCGGAACTGGATCTTGAGGTTCTCCGGCAGTTCCTGGCGGCCGGCGTAGCTCGGGTTCTGTCGACCAGGTGGGCGGGTGGCGTGTTGTTAGCCCACGGCCCAAATTTCCTTACAATAGCGGGAGACCCACACACATATGCCGGGTATGTAATCAAGCCCACTCGCAAAGAGCCACAGTTAATCGTGAAATAGCATTGCCAGTTTTCTGTATCAGGTAGACATGAGGTCGCTCAAGGTCATGAGAGCATGAGCTTACTGGAGTGGCGCGGGCAGGCGCGGGACAGCACGCGGGTCAATGGAAGCCACACCCGTGGATCGACGGTTCAAGCAAAAATAGCTCCCAGCGCACCAGTCAGCTCATTGGTGCATTTGCGATATGTGCACGCTTCGAAAGCGGCACAGAGAGCGGTCCCAAGAGCGGTCCCGGGGGCGGTCTTGAGGCGGTCCCGAGGCGGTCCCGAGAGCGGGCCCAAGAGGGGTGTCAGGGCATGGTCAGACCCGACTGGTGACCACGCACCATGGTAAGGAAGATGCCAAACTCGGCGTTGAGGCTGATCTCGTCGCCGTCGGTGAAGATGAAGTACTTCTTGTGCTCCTTCTTGGCACCGAGGATAACGGCCACCTGCTGCGCGGCCACCGACAGCACCGGCAGTTGGATCCGGTTGAACTCGTCGAAGCACCCCCACGAACCCGACTGGCACAGGCCTGCTCGGTGTCCGCAGGGAGAGGCATGTCAAGGCCGCGATCGCTGGGTTAGGTGATCTGTGGACTTGTGCTCAATGTGCTCAAAGTGGTGTGCACATGACAGATGATTATCATCATGTTAAAGCTTTTGAAAACGACTGCCACGACCCAAACCGGCCATTCCCCGGCCTGGCTTCCATTCTCTAGCACCATCTCGTCTCCTTCCCCCGGCTCTCGGGCGAGGCTCGGGCCATGCGGCCAGCCGTTCGACCACCGCTGGCTCATGGCGACATTTGCTGCAGTCCTCCAACTAATCTCTTCCAAAAAGGTGGCTGGGTCATTGGGCGACATCGCAGAGCGTGCTGTGTGTCCGCGCTAGGCGACAATTGTCACCGCGTGCCGACCGCAGTCGAGCGGACTGCCGGCTCGCTCCCGCCGAGGGAACTCCACTGCGTCTCGGTAAGCGTTCTGTTTTCGGGTTCGGGAACCTTTCTATGAGCATTTCCCTCATGACTCGAGGGCCGGTTCTTACGTTGCAGAAGCCTTACGGGCATCTTACGGGGCCAGGCCCCCCTGGATACACCGCTATTGTTGACCTCGTCATCAGCATATAAAGACCACAACTCCACTGGAGTTGTGGTCACCGGTGCCGGCGCGCCGGCGCACCGGCACACCAATGACTGGTGCGCCGGTGATACGCCAATGACTAGTGCGGGCATTATCTATCAAATGTAGTGTTCCACGTTGACCTTTTGATGTCGGTGGGCACTAGGCCCTGTTCACAATCACAACCCGATTCAGAGCACGTCCTTGAGTTATGTTTTGTTGGCAGGTGTTGTTCTACGCCCAGAAAGCTTCTGCAACACCATGTTTCCATTCAGACTGTATGATCTGAACTATAGGCTTGTCTGTCGATTCCAGGATTTGAGACCGGGCGCCGTTCAAAATCTTCAACACCAGGCTCTACCTACACCGTATTTTCGTAGCCCTTTTGGGCCAATTGGTGGTAGGTTGTTAACCATCATCACTTGCACACGAAACAAAACACCACAGGGTGAGTAAGTCTGCAACATGTCCCTATAGGTTGGCAGTGGTCTGAGTTTTTCTAAGCTAACTGGGCACGTCTTCGAGACAGAAGCATTCTTAACAAGCTGCCATGCATCGTATTATATCTGAGTGCAAAATCAAACACAAGCGCGGCATGGGTCGAACTAGTGCAATGTCTGAAATGGGCTCATTGAGCAGCTACATAACCGGAACGCAGAACATGGTCAACGAGCTCTAAACAGTCGGCGTGATCATTCCAACGCCATTTTTCTAGTGCCTGCTTTCACTGATTTTGATAAATGTGCAATGTCAGTGTTTTTGTGGCGGCTCACCCATGTGAAACCCATATGTTGATCAAGCGAAGTCAACGCTTCCTTTCATTAGGGTCGTAGATGTTATCGTTGAGCTTTTTCCCGGGGTTCTTATGCATGCGGGTTTGTTTTAATGCGTTGGCCTACGCTCACGTTTGCCGAAAATACTCTGGGCATAGCAGTTGTCGATCTAATGGTATTAGATATCTATGCTCTTGCGCCGAGGCGCTCGGGGTTACACTAGCGCCATCTTTAAACGAAGTGTTTCCCATGGTGCGACATCTAGCAAAAACTTTCGCGATTGACATGAACAAATGAAAATGATGCTTGTGATGCTAGCATAGGTCAGAAATATATTGATGTTTTAATTTAAGTGGTATAAAAGTCCAATGCTTATGTAATCATCCTTTCAATTGGCAGCAACAATCATGATATTCTATACACAAATTATGCATTACTTACACAGCTCGCTAGCCATCTGGCCCCGTGGTGTAACGGTTAGCACTCAGGACTCTGAATCCTGCGATCCGAGTTCAAATCTCGGCGGGACCTGCCATTCTCCTTAACCTGGAGATACATTTTCGGAATTGCTCTACTCACTCTGCCGCCATCCGTCATATGCCATATGTCCCGTACATTCGTCGAATGCATACCTGACCACTTCGCGAGTCCTAACCCACAACGAAATATCGCTGCGCATGCACATTCGCGCTATGCCGTAAAGATACACGATCCCATTGGGAACTAGTAAGGATTGGAGCGCGACAAGGTTCGGTGTTGGGCGCTTTGCTCCTTAATGTGTTTGTGAATGATAACCATATAGTGTGATAGTAAGGTCTAACATTTTCTGACCATATTAGATTAGTAGGGATGTCGACGAATACAGATTCGGTGAACCAAATTCAATCTGACTTGAAGAAAGAAGTGTACTGGGTTTCTCTGTGGCAGATGTCATTCCAGTATGAAAGGTGTAAGACGATGTGTTTGGGTAGCTTTGGCAGTGATGACATTAGCTTTAAAATGGGAGGTCGGAAGGTAGACCGGACCTGGGAAGAAAAGAACTAAGGAGTCATAATTTCTAGGGTTTTAAAGGTTGAAAATCGATGTGGGATTGCTAGGAGAAAGGCGCTTCGGATGCAGGGACTTATTAACAGGAATGCCCATTGTAAGAATAGGAATGTTATCAAAAAGCTGTGCTTAGCTTATACCGGACCACACCTAGAGTATTGTGCACAGGCTTGGTCCCCATGCTTTAAAAAAGATGTAGATAGGCTGGAAAGAATATAGCGAAAAGCAGCGAGGATGATGGATGGGATCGGCGACTTACAATAGAAGGATAGGCCTAGGGCCTTGGATTTGTATTTGCTAAAATATCGTAGACTTAGAGGGGATCTGATAGAGCATTCAGGATCATGAAGATCTACAAAGATCTAAGACAAGGAAGATCTACAAAGAGCACTACAAATTAGGCCGAGTCATTGGGGAAACCAATTTCATTTAGCAAAAGGTGAGAGCGGAGCTGTGAAGAGGCAGATATCATTAAATCAAGGAGTAGTGAATCGTTGCAATGGGCTGTCGAAGGAAGTTGTACGAAGTTCCTCTTTAGCAACATCTAAAAACCGTTTGGACAAGTTCTATCGGTCTAAAGGTTTCATTTCTAGCTGAAGTCATGCAGGTCAGGTGGTAATCTGAGTCTCGAGAATGTGCGCGGAACCTGGGGTACGCAAACCTCGAACGTGTGTGGCTCTTTGTTGGCCGGATGTGTCTATGTCTTTATGTTCGCAACTGTGTCTCATGTCATACGCGTATTTCACACAAGGCAGAGAAGGCGAACAGGTTTACAAATCGCGATAGAACATTCATGGGAATATACACGTTAGCTGGAGGACACGAAACCTCGGAGATGTGCAAAACATTTTTGCCATTTCTGACCATATGTCTATGCGCATTCCACACGAAACTGTGCAGGCGAGCAAGTCTACAAAACATGACAGAATTTTAATGGGGATATGAACGCTGCGGCTGAAGGACACAAACCCGTAGATTTGTGCTAATGGTGTGTTTGTTTCGTCGAACACTTGCTGTGAAGGGCTGTTACTGGCGTCCCACCCATTAAAAACCCGTGTTCAGCTCATTCTATGTACAACATCACATAGAATCATCATCAGTCGATCATCATCAATCATCCTATTCTTACATGGGCACATGACCACTGATGCTGACGGAGGTGGCGGAGGCCATAGAGGAAGGGGGAGGGGATAGTGGGGCTGAGGATCACATAGTCTGCAATTTGACTAGAATATGCTTTTCTTATTCCAGCATTGATCGTAGCATGGACTTAAGGGCATCTTCCCCCTTAAAAACACTTTCCGCTTATGCAGCCTCCATGCTCTTATTTGCCCATTACCCATTTGCCCATGGCTACTTGTCTACAATCACGAGACGAAGGTATGCTGATTTTTGTAGGGCATTCGAGATCTCTGAATCCCAATGGGCTCAAACATAAATGACCGGGTTCAGTGATACCTTATATCCTATAATGATATGTGTCGGTGTAGCAGTTACCACAGGTGTAGTAACATAGACATGCAGCCAGTCTAAACGGAAAGTGCTTAAGAGAGGGAAGAGACCCGGAAGTGCCTTTTTGCGATCAAGAACCCCATTCTGGATATGCTGGAGGTACGTATGTGCTCCTCAGCCCCGCCCCCTCCCCCCCCCCCCCACCCCGTCAGTCTCAGTCGTCATGGCTTACGGCGTTATTGTACTGTAGCGGCACGGGGTCAACACCTCCATTGTGGGGGTCACCAATAGGTGGCGCTAACGAGTGTTGCTGTTGTGTGTGTGACATTGTGCGTCGTGTGAGAACTGTGTGTGTCTCCAAAGCTTCGCTGCACTGTTAATGTTCGGTAATGATATTAGTGATATGCCTACCACAGAACGGTTGCTAGTATAGCTATTGTTTGGCCGCTAATGGCATATTGACTACCGTAGGTAGATGACAGGCTGGCAGGCGTAGGCAGGCAGATATTTGCTGCTGTCAAGTGCTGTAGTCGAACCGACCCCTATCGATAATATGTTGTGTGCAATCTGACAGCGCAGTGTTCTTTACTCTTCGTGATCCGTCCCTCTCTGGACGCGTTTTCCCTGTCTGTCAGTCCGGGCCGGCATCACCTCGATGCCAGCACAAATGTTTCAAACCAGACCAGCACGACCAACGCAGCAGTGCTAGTCCCGGCCACTCGGCCGCAACCAGCCGGTTGACAGCCCGAGTCCTGAGGTGCGGGTGATTACGCTTGTGTCGCACTGCAGGAGGGGGGGGGGGGGGGGGCCTCGAATTGTCAACTGAAGAAAACAAAGGGCAACTACTGCCACCTTTTCTCTCTATCTTCGCCGAAGATAGTGACGTACGCGACAGCACAGTTGGGCTGATGAAAGGTTTTTTGTGTGATACGTATATGCGCACTAATATGTATATATATATATATATATATATATATATATATATATATATATATATATATTATACATCTATGATATACATAACAATATATATATATATAATATTTATAATCCATATACATATATATATATATATATATATATATATATATATACATATACACACACAAACGCAACATAACAAAAAAATATTGAGGTGTCGCCATACATATCTCAGGACGGACAAAGCATAAGGCACTCGTGAAATGAGAAAAAAACTTTAAGCTTGGCCCTGATTCACCATTTTTTAATAACGCGGACTGATAGAGGATCAGCGGTACCCCTTGCCACTTCCAAACCAAGAAAGACAGAGTCTCGCGGGAAGAAACGGTGTATTGTTAACAACGTATTCTTGCGATTGGTAAGAAATTTAATGTTGCCAGGTCAATAACTGACAACGTTATATCGAGCCGAAAATATTTTTTAACAGCACGTTTTCAGCTCCCCATGTTAACATTCTTGAAACTAAAACATGCGTGCTCACTGTTAGGTTCTGAGCACATTGATATGCTGTTTTGTTGAGTTTCGGGCATACATCCATGATGCTGACTCTGTTAATGCGACAGCGTCGGCCCGCCGCGCGCGATCGGCCAATTCGTCAGCTGCCGTCCACCGTCCTCGTCAGCCGTGGTTCGCCGTGCAGTGTTTCCCAAAACTGTCTCTTTTCAGAAACCAGAAAAGCTAGAGACGTGTTTCGTCTGTCAAAGCACGCTCAATGAATGTCCATAAGCTGCCGAAAATTTGGGCGCGATTGTACAAAATACCGGACAGATACCCCAGCAGTGCGTAGATATGGACTAAATTAACCATTTTAACTACTCCCTTAAAGGTCGAGGGTAAAATATGTGCTTGCGAAACCGATGCCGGCCTACCTTTGTAGATGCGTCCCAGGCCACGGAAGTCCATCTGGTCGGAGCAATTGAACACCACCACGTACTTGCCAAGCGTCTTGCCCATGTCCTTGACGGTCTCCGTTTTACCGGTGCCAGGCCGGCCCGTTGGGGCAGCCGCCCATGGACATGTGCAGCGCCTGGGCCAACGTTATGTAGCACCTGAGATAGGGAGAGCGCAGTCATCTCTCAGGCTATATATCTGTCAATAGCTGATTTTTTCAGTGGAATTCTTCGGCGGTCTCCTTGCCACCCATACATGTGTTACGCAACGTTGTATTTACTAAGCTTTGTGTTTCGTCACTAATCACGAAAGAAGGCAGTGGAATATATGGACAATGTTCTACGTTTTTCGTTTCTAAGTTGTCAGCGTTAGTTAGCGTCCTCAGCAGTGATTTAGTCTATTTCAGCCCACAGACCGGGTAGCAATGGACATTGCCCACAGCCCTGACAGCAAATGGACTCATACCGACAAAAAGCACCGCAGCTTGCAGGAATAATTTAGCACAGTCAGAAACGGCTGAGATATGGCGCACGAGCGTCTGCCGCCGCTGCCGGCCGCAGCTGGACTGACCGGTCAGTCAGAGGTGTGATCACCAGGCGCTCGGTGCAGCCCAGGAACTCGTTCTGGTACACGAAATGCACGTCCGTGATGGAGATGCGCGTCTGGTCCAGGTCGTCTTTGAAGTAGAAGCGGCATTGCTTCAGCCACTCGAAGTCAGTGACAGGCCTTCACCTGCAGCCGGCACTGCAACAGCGTGGCCTGTTAGTTCTCAGCGGGCTTACCAAGATGACCCCGACCGGAGGAGAACACGGCGGTACCAGGCTGACTGATGACAACAGGAACGTTCGCAAAGAGTTGTTCTGTGTACGTTTCGGGGCAAAATGACAGGCGGGATAGGGTGCTCCTTGTCAATATCATCAGCCTCCGCAACAGGCGAAAATCCTCGGACCCTGCATACCGAATGCCAGCGATCAAGAAGCTCTGCTCTCGACGCCGTCAAGGATGGCCTGTGCTGCACAAGAATGCCGCCGCCTGACCCGAGTCTGGCGTTCGGCTCTACCGATCGGCTGCGCCCACCATGTGGTCGAAGATGTCCCTCTGGTGGACGTGCACGGTGACCAAAGTCTCGTACTTGGTCCGCTCCATGCGACTCAGGTCGGCCGCCGTGCGGTCGATCAGCAGGTTCAGCAGCTCCAGAAACCTGCGGCCAGTGCGGCCACGTCACATGCCGCATATGCAGCCAGATCAAGTATATGTCACTGGAGGTCAGCAATCACTAGGAAATGATGCTTGAGCCCGGCTTCATCCCCTGGCATAGCAGTCCCTGCTATTACAGCAAACGATATGATCGCTATGACCGAGAGGACGGTACTGCTGCACAGACCAGGGCGGCTATCCCGCGCCATGGACTGATGAACCACCATCCCAGGGATCTGACGACGCTAACGGTACCTCAGCATACGCGTCAAACACTCCTGGGTGTGTGTGTGTGTGGTGTGTGTTGTGTGTGTGTGTGTGGTGTGTGTGTGTGTGTGTGGTGTGTGTGTGTGTGTGTGTGTGTGTGTGTGTGTGTGTGTGTGTGTGTATGTGTGTGTGTGTGTGTGTATGTGTGTGTGTGTGTGTGTGTGTGTGTGTGTGTGTGTGTGTGTGTGTGTGTGTGTGTGCGGGCGAGCGCGTGCGTGTGCGCGTGGGTGTGCATGTGTTGGGGGCCTAGATTAAACGGTTCGTCGCGTCATACCGGTTGTTGGTCTCCGACATGATCTTGCGGTCGAGCCTGGCCTGACTCAGCGACATCTCGGCATCACGAGTCCAGATCATCTGAATGCCCAGGATGCCCACCTGCCAGAGGCGCACACCGACCGACACTGAACCCACGGCTGTGACGGTCGGACGGACCGGAGACGGTACACACTGCGCGCAACGGTACAACTGTGTGCGTGAGATCGACTCCATCGTCGGCGAAAGTCGGCAGTACTGACCACAGGGTGTAAGAGTCAGGACGTCCCGTCCAGCCTTCCACGCACCGCATGACTTTTTCAGAACTCCGGGTCAAAGTCCAGTCCGGGTCCTTGGGGTAGGGCTTCTCCGAGCATAGCGATCGTGGAGCGAACTTCGCGTCACATACGAGCGGCCGAACTAAACAAATAGTGCCCGTGCGTGGAGCACCTGCGCCTGTTACACAGCAATACCGACGGGTTGTCAGAGTTGGCGAGCTGCCGACCTGGGCTGACCTGACGCACACTGACACAGACCTGGGCTGGCCTGGCACACACTCTGACACAGACCTGGGCTGGCCTGGCACACACTCTGACACAGACCTGGGCTCATCTGACGCACACATTGACACAGACCTGGCAGGCATCACGCACATTGACACAGACTTGGACTGACCTGACGTGCGTATTGACACAAAACTTGACCGGCCTGGCGCCCACTCTGACACAGACCTGGGCTGGGAAGCTGTCGAGGAAGTTGAGCACGTTGATGGTGGGGTCCTGCAGCACAAAGTGACCCTGCCGGATGATCGCGTGCAGCGACTGTTGTGCCATCTTCAGCAAGTTCATCAGCCACATCTCCACACTGCCTTCCGCCCGGACCGGCCTCTCCAGCTGCCGTAACGAGAGTGCGGTATCACTGCTCAGAGGCCTTTCTAGGATTTCACAACGGATGGGCAGGAACCGATGCTTTCACCGAAACCCCTGTTTAGCGTGCTGCGGGTGAGAAAATTGTTGCATGGCAGACAACATCGCTTGTTCTCAATCTGTTCAATAGTGCGATCTACCTAGGGACAGAGCAACATACGTTTTGGGGGTCAACAGATACAACAGATACACAGATACATTGGCTAAACATACCCCAAAATTAGTAAAAGCAAGTTTCTCCTCGGGTTTGGCCTGCTTTACTCCCAAACATGGGGGGAGGAGTCCAGGCTCCACAAGTGAAGGGGGAAACAACATTCAGGTGTTCACCCCGAGACTTTTAGTGTCAACACGTATTCGCACCCATATAAATGCTTGAAGAAAGGAAAAGAGGGGCAGGGGCACGAGCCCCGTGGGTCATTCTGTTATATGTTATCACCATTTCGTTAGGGTAGCCAGGAACGTTGCATTTTCTGAATGATAGCGAGGGAGTCGAACCTGAGGCCCAACAGCGTGACCTCTCTATACATGTGTGTTTCTGAACAGATCTGAGTATGTTCTTCAATAACGTTACACTTATTCCGAGTGGTTAATAACCGGAGGCTCAATTCCACTAATTGGTGACGCATCTGGCCAGACCACATCAAAACCAGGCCCAATAACACACTTCGGAGTGGTACTAAACCACGTTAGGTTAAGACACCTCCCGCTCAGAAAAAAATGGTAGTGAGTGAATTTCATTGGTGACTGTCATGCGCTAGTACTTAAAAGTCCGGTGGGTTTTGCAACAGTTCAGTGAGAGTTGATCTCATCATGCAGTGATGGACTCTCCCTCGCAGTTCAGCGAGAGTTGATCTCATCATACAGTGATGGACTCTCCCTCGCTGGAAATGATGGCTTGGATCTTGTCGTAGTCCGTGTCATGGAACTTGACCGACTTGGTGTTGTCAAAGATGCTCATCAGGTGGCTCTGGATCGTGTGAGAGTCGGAGGCCTGGCCCAGGATCTCCAGCAGCGCCGGGTCGGACACAAAAAAGAAGCGGGGGAACAGCACTCGCTTCTTCTCCAGGTAGCTGCGGCAGTGTCGGCACGGTTAGTTGTGTGTTCCAACCCCAGAACGACGCCGGAAAAGGGAGGAAACGACTACCAGAAGGCTCTCGATTGGGGGCGGAGTTGCGCACAAAGAACGGTGGGACTTCATAGCTGTCGGAACGTGAAGCACGGTGCCAACAGGAATGACAAAACACAGCTGAATGCAGCAAAAGAAGGTGAGGGGATACAAAGTGATCGAACAACATTCTTGATGTGTGTTTGTTGAGAATGACTTCCTACAGAGCTGGTCAATTATCCCGAGGGCGGCTTCCGACAGAGCCAGTCACTGACCCGGAGAGCGACTTCCGACAGAGCCAGTCACTGACCCGGAGAGCGACTGCCGACAGAGCCAGTCACTGACCCGGAGGGTGACTACCGAGAGAGCCAGTCACTAACCCGGAGAGCGACTTCTGGCAAAGTTCCAGCTGCTCCTGCAGGTGCGGTAGCTGCTGCTTAAGCGTCTCCTCGCCCACGCAGCAGGAAACCACGTTCGGCACCTCGTGCGCCCGGTGCATGATACGCTGCCACGACCGGTCGATGATGTAGAACCTGCCGCCAGGGGCGCCACCGGTCAGTCGCCGGCAATACCGCGTCCGTCGGCCGCGCCGCGATACCTGGCGATGGAGTGGCGCCGGGCACCGGGCACTAGCCTTGCCTTGGGGACACTCGCAGTGTCGTGAGTGGGTCACTCACACACCTGGTTTGACTCCGAACGTTGTCGCTCTAATTGATGATGCTTCAGTCACTGGTGCTTCCGAATGCTGCTGGACAAACTCGTCGATCTGATGTGCAGTGTGTGTGGTTGATGAACACAAAATACTACTGTGCGGTCCTACCAATCATCCACCTCGGCCTGTATCGACGCTTCTAAGCGGCACGCTTCAAGGATTTCTTTATTCATTCGCGTTGTTGTGCTGGAGCGCCGAGTGTTAGTCATTGTTGCTGCATCGTCAACCCGAATACGCATGAGAAGGCTGCATCAGCTGAGTGGTCGGAATTCTCGCGCCGCATAACGTGCTGGAAAGAGAGAGAGAGAGAGAGAGAGAGAGAGAGAGAGAGAGAGAGAGAGAGAGAGAGAGAGAGAGAGAGAGAGAGAGAGAGAGAGAGAGAGAGAGAGAGAGAGAGAGACGTGCTCGCTGACCGCTTGGCCTCCTTTGGCAGCTGCTTGGCGATGTCTCCGCCGACGAACACTGCCTCCAGGTAGACCCAGAGATTCTGGACGAACAACCACCGCTCCAGCACCTCGTTGGTGTTTGACAGGTCAGCCAGCAAGTTCTGGATCTGCTTGCGGAACGGTGCGTTGTACCTGCAACCAGATGCGATGCAGGATGAAATAGCATTGCCGATGTTGCTGAGAACATACAAAAATTCCATGCAAATATTGTGGTCTTTTACAGGGACATCTTCCCGCCACCACAACGAGGGTACATGTTTACGTGCTCGAGGCTACGACTAGGGTACTTGAAGTGATATCATAAACTCATCAACTGGCTGTACCTTGGTGAAAATAGAGAGAAGCCAGCACAACAAACCAAAAGTACGCGTATGTTGCGAAAAACATGTTGCTGAAGCGGGGGTTCACCTGCTGGATAGTAGGAGACCAAGCGCTCCAAGCCTGCGCCCCAGCCGTCTCACATGTCATAGAGCAGGTAGTCGGGCGCCGCGGGGCCGTCCTCCAGCCGTCCCACCTGTTGGAGAGCAGGGAGCCCAGCACCATGAGGCTGTCCTCCAGCTGGCCGATAACCTCGGCCGTGTTGTCGCCGCGCAGCAGCAGCTCGCCGCGGTTCTTGAACGTCATGAAGCTCAGCTCCTGGGTGGACCACTCGGTGGTCACCTGGCGCAGCTTGGCCTCGATGTCGCGCTCCTTCACGGCCGATATGCAGATGTCCTGGCGAGCGGACGGTGCGGCCAGGGTCATGGGAGAGACCACCCCACCAGCAGACGGCTGTGCGGCGGAGCGCTCAGCGGGCTCCGAGTCAGCCTCAGGGAATGTCATTAAAACAGTATGCTTAAGTGGCTGGCGGCGCTTGAGGCCCATGGTGAGAAAGTCGCGCGGAATCCATGTCGCGAAAACCGACGGAAAGCTTCGGTGCTCACAATGGAAGACGGGATAGCTGCTATAACAGTTATATTCGAGCATACTCTCCTGTCCGATCGACGAAAATACAAGGTCTTACAGTCTGCAGGTTTCCATCTTGCACATGACCTCTGAAATCACGCAGGGTTTCGTTCGAGCAACAGCAACGTTACCAAGAGTTATTAGACTCGATGGCGGGAATTCGATCTCTTTATCCCTCGTCACAGAGAGCAGCGGCTCGCCACCCCACCTCGATATCCTCCTTGTTCTGCAGCAACGGCGCCATCAGAATGTCCTTCAGGCAGAAGCCGTCGCTCTCCACATCGTAGTGGTACTTGGAGACCTGCGAGAGCCGCTGCCAGTGCCGCGGCTTCATCGCCTTGTTGGCCATCATCTCGATCAGCGGACACATGTCGTTGAAGTCGTCGATGGTCTTCTTCAGCGCGTTGAACGCTGGCCACTCCTTGAGACCCTTGGGCAGCTTGCGGCACCTGTGCGCGGGCCGCGGTCGTCATCAGCGCTGGAGAGGTCGGCGCGGGACCCGCCTCACTTCCAGCGGCAAACGCCGCGCCATCTGGACCGGCCACGCCGTTAGCTGGATCACAATTAAAACCATCTCGCTACCATAGATGATACGAGGAGATCGCATACACCGATGGCAATTTGCTTCCAACAAACAGTACCAGTAAACTCGTATAATGATGCCCACAGATTGATTACCACGAAACGCAGTACCCTTATTATACACCCTCGGCGGAAATCCAACGCATGGCATATACGACGTAGGTTTGCGGGCGGTTCAAAGATGATATTTACAATATTTCTAGTTCCAATCTACCTGTTCTGAAACTCCATCAGCTCGTTGTTAATTTCCTCGATGTTGACCTCGTCCCACAGGATCTCATAGTAGCTGCTCACTCGGTCGATCACGTCGTTGTACAGCCTGTTGAACGGTAATGACAGTCAACCCTCTCCCCACGAGGCCATTTCACACCCTTGCCCAACAAGGAGGGCACGGCATACCGCCCCCTCCTCTCCTCACTGGATGTCGAATTAAGACAGATAAAGCATCGGGGTTGAAGCCAACGTTGCTCGTCGCTCGTTCGATGGTTCGTCTGGGTGGTTGTTGCTTGTTCTCTAAGTTATCCAGATATATCTATTTTTCGTTCAAGCTCAATAGATGACCTTCCAGGTCACGCCAATGACCTAAACAGAACATGTCGGAAATTCAACGGGATTTTCTTGCTGCTGTAGTTTCACAACTTGCGAACAAAAAGCATTCCAAAACAACCAACGCCATTTTGCCGTCTCCCGGTTCCGACAATGACCGGCTTTTGAGGAGGTTCGAGTCAAATGAGTGACCTCTCCGGTCACGGGAGCTTCACGGCAACCGAAATGCCCAATAGAATGCATGCTACGCAACTACAATATCGATAACTTCCATACTGAGCAAGATGGAGTGATCTGGAAGCCATCGATACAATGGTCATCTTCTAAGCTGTCCGACCGTCCTTGCTTTCTGTCTGAACTAATTTGTGGCCTGTGAGGTCAGGCTAAGTCTTTAGGGTCAAGCATGTATGTATACAAATGTATAGCTACGCAGTGCGTATGGTTGTTCGGATAAGATCATCTTGTAAACGCCACTTGAATTATTTGACACATCTTAAGAAGTGTATAACCTTGATTGTATGCATTTCATCTTTGACAGAACAGGGTCCAACTTGCTTATGGTGCCAAATATTTCGTCTGTCTGTCATATGATGACCACCCGCGTTACAGCAATGCGATAAATGTCATCCCGCGCAATACGCCGAACTTATTCCGATGACCTTAAACCCACGATTTGCTATGATGTGTCACATGATTGTCAAAATTATGTTGATGTGGTGGATAGCAGTGCAGCATTTTGGAAAAGAACGTGCCATAAATTTTGTATAAAAGAAAGATGGACATGTTTGACCCCACTTGACCTGTTGTGACCTGACCGCTTGCCCCCAGACGCAATCGGGACCGACATCACGGACGTGAAAATCGATTGCATGGATAAAACAAACTAGTAACATATCCCAGTTGTCATGGTCTGAACTGCATTGTTGATTCGGCGAAAACCTAACTGACATAACTTTCACAAATGGGCCTTGGTCACGAACGATTCCGGCAAAATTGCTTTAAAAAATCGAGAGAAAGAGAAAACATTTTATAAAGTCAGGTACCAACCAAGATAGACTGGCACGATATTTTCAATCGATGCCAAGTACCTCAAGAAACCCTCAGGCAGACTTCGTTTTATCTTCGCCTTCGTCGGCCAAGGATAATTTATGAAAACTGATGAAACATTTGGCAGTTGTGGCACTGGGTGGCAATGGATAAGACAAGCCATTAACAACGTGTTCCAACCCAAATATCTTCAACGCGCAATACCGAAGAACATCCACGACAACAAAAATACTGGTGCATGTGGGAAACTTTTAAATGTCTCATTCGTGGTCTTGCCCATCTAGTCGACAGTCATTGATAGATGCAATTGCACCGATGTGCTTCAGTATGCAAGATGCACGAACATTCGAATCGACGACAACGCTCGACCGCGGCAAAACACGCTGCTAAACGGGTCTTGTCACCGGCTGATCGAGGGCGTTTAACGACAGCGGCGTGTAACGACACACTCCCACCGAGTCGCCTACGTTACAATGCATAAGCGACAGAGCCGGTCAATGGGGGCCTCTGGGGCTGTGAAGCATTCCGGCTCCGGTCGCGGTGGTCTGCACCGCACCTGTACAGCTTCTGCAGAAGATTCAGCTCCTTCTTGATCTGGCCCAGTATGGGGTACTCCTTGTGCTCCAGACCGATTAGCTCTTCGCCGCTGGTGTAGATCTGGTGCCGC